CATTAGATCGTGCGTGCAAGGGTATGTTTGAGTCTATTGTTTGGGTATTTGTAAAAGACACCAACGCCGAAGACAACAAAGACCCAATCGAACCTGAACCCGAGGCATTTGGAATGAAGTACTATCAGCTCGATGGTCACTACTACTATTATTGCTAGGCGGTTTTTATTTTACTATAATCTTAGTTGAAAAATCGAATTTGCGGAAAAAGTCGTGTTTTGAAGTTCCTTTAAGCCAGGCAACAAAGGAAGCCTTACTGCGAGATTCAGAAAGTCCGAAAACCTGTGTACCATTTACTTACAACGTATCTCTCTTTGAATAGCTTCACTACAAACATACAAGGTCTGATGAATTCCACTCAACTAGACTACAGACCGACGAAAGTTGTTGTGGGAAGCACAGTCGTCGGTGGATGGGTGTGTCTTGGTTTTCCGACTTTAACTTACGCATCCAAGAAGTATCATTTTATGAAGGTCCTGATTGACTCATCCTTTCAGAGGCTGACACTAGTCTGGTGTGGTGTCTGGTTTATATGTCGTATTTTCTTTGATACAGACGCCGAGAACAGGCTATAAGGTTGACAAACAACTCATTTGTTTTGGCGTCTAAAGGACTTCATAGAAGCTCTTGTGGTTGTATGTCAAATCCTTACCGCACACGATGAATGACAACACGGCTGTCGGACGTGAATGCTTCGCAACCTAATTTCTCTCATGCAAGTTCGAATCAGCTGTGATCAAATATTTGCGTCTTGTGGCATCAACCTATGGGTGATCATCAAGTGAAAGAATAGATAGTCAGAACTCGAGCGTGATGCATTTCTCTCCTACATCTAACCATATACGGTGAGCAGATATCCTCACAGCGTGTGTTTTAGCATAGCAGGTAAGACAGTTTTATAAGTTCTCAACCATGTCCTTTTTAACGGTAAAATTCAAAGAAAATTTCGGTGTCTGCTATAGAGTTTTTAAGAAATAATATGGCTTAATAATAATAATAATATCAGTTTTGAGTATGCATTCCATTCAATATAAGAAACCAAGAGGAATCACTACAGGTACACTAAACCTCAATCATGCTCGTTTTAACGGTTTTTCTCTCTTTGAATAGCTTGACTATAATCATTAGACTCCACTTGATCTGATCAGTTCCACTCAACTAGACTACAGACCGGTGAAAGGTGTTATGGGCAGCACATTCGTTAGCCAGCTTTTGAAGATGCAAAACAAGGGTTTTTGATAAATATATCTTTCTCCAACGCTCCAAGATTTTGGCTGTCGTTGTAGATACCATTGAGAACGATATAACAGAACCATCGAGAATGATTTAACCAAACACAAATTTAATCGAGGCTCGTGTAGAAGAAGAGAAGCAAATTTTCATCAGAGACCGATTTTTGGCCCTAAACTTACACGTCTTACGTATTATATCTAAAGATATACGCCATTTCCAGTCGTTAATAGCATGACCAAAAAGAGACAAACTCTGAAATCTGCAAATTGATAATGACAACGAGACGTATTCATATTTGTGTATAAATTAAAAATCGAGTTCCTTAGGCACCTGACGGCATTCATCCGTCTTTGACAGACCGATAGAAGAGAAAAAAGGAAAGCAATACACAAAAGAACACCACGCAGATGATGGTAGCAAGCACTATAAATTTGAATGCAACGATAATGGAAAATGTCCTGTCAATGAAATGCAGGCTGTACGTCCACAGCGGATACGAACTGCCTATGCCAGGTGACCGAGGTATTCAAACTTTTCCACAAATGAAATCGAGATGGTACTGTAGAAAAGAGAACGACGAAGGTGGTTATTTGTGTGTGGACGAGTATAGCGACATTCGTTATGACATTTAGCTTCACTAACCATGTAGAACTGATCCAGAATATGGAGCACTCTCTGACCTCTAGTGTGCAAAATTGGCGTTGCCTGATTAAACTGAAAAGAATAATGCCAAATCATACGCATTAAAATGAGAATTGTCTCCGATCAACAAACTATTCTAATCGGAAATGTAAAGGATAAACAAAGTCGAAAAAATAATCAAACACTGAGCTGACTCGTGCTTAAGAGGAAAAGAGACTGAACCAAATGAAGCATACGTCGAACGCTACCTTAATCATTCGCAGATAAAGAGCCAGTGACTAGCATCATGTCTTGTCAGTTTCGCTAACAATGTATCATGTCATACCCAATCAAAAGCAGAAACAAAATCTATGAACAGTAATAGCAATGCTCGCGAAGGGCATTCTAACTTGTTCAAGAATGGGCAACAGGCGAGTCTAAAGAGGTACGTTCAGTTCACATTTGGACTGTACAGGTGCAGGAAACTGATTCCAGATGTACAGTCCGGCTTTTAACCCAGTACATCTGGCTTCAGTCTCTCGCACCTCATCCACTCCTGATGCCGTCTATGAAAAGCCTTCTCGCAAAAGCGTTCAAGAACAAAATCGGACTTAACTCATTCGCCATCACAAATCGGCCGGTTTGACAAAAGAAAAAAGTCTAGAAATTATAAGTCTGGGAATGAATGGTTGATTAAAGCAAATCACAAAAAGGCATATGTATTTGATTGGCACCTGTTTTAATAATGTGTTCGATATTCCATGAGGACTGAGTGATCCTGATTTGGTCGGGATCTATCGATATTTCATCGAATCTCACTCGATTCGATTACGAACTAACCGAATAAATGTTAATCGCATCGCGCGATTCTTGTTATACGCTACGTTTCGTTTCGTGGAGCAGTTGTCCCATTGCTAAGCGGATGTACTCCCGATAATGATCCTGCACTATAATATCGGCTTCACATCGTTTAATGTTTCGTCGCGAACATTTTTCAGTCACGGAGATATATTGCAAACAGAAGCGAAGATGGACAAAGCCGATGTGTGTTCGTCGAAGAAAGTAATACATTTTCCGTATAAAACACGTACCTCAGATGAGAAAGTTAGATGGGATCCCATTTAGGGGAACAAAACAAACAAGAAAATTAAAAATCCGACTAGTATGAGCTGAGTAAAAAGCCGAATAACCTTAGAAATTGGGCGATCAATCGTATTACAACTCTTATGTGCTGTAGATCATATAGAATTTTTAACAAACTAATAAAGGTCAATTGAAAGGTCTTGTGTTACTGCTTTTTGCGATGTAGATACTATATTGTTTGAAGAGTAATGTTGTTAGTGCTAGCATATCTATATTTTCTCATCAACGACATCACTTTAGCAATAGGATTTAGTTTTCATTTTTGTAATGCTGTTGGTAGTGATAGTGATGCTGCTGATATGGATGATTGTAATGAACAAGCATGATCAATAATGTGTTGTTGAGTTGTGGTCGTCTTGGATTGACATGTTAAGATGGGTTTCTGAGTTTAGAAAAGCGAGAAACTAAGAAAACAGTGAAGCGGATATTGTTTATAAGTGAGTATCTAATTCGACATAGAGAAAGATAAACTGGAAGAGACTGACTCGAGATTTACACTTANTTACACTTATCCTATTGTGTTTTGTTTGTCAGGAGATATGAATAACAAAACAATGGAAATAAGGAAAATCGAGCGAAAGAAATGCAGAATAAATGCTTCATCGTATATCTTTGAATATATTCATATTTGAATATGAAGCGTTTATTCTGCATTTCATATATTCAAATATGAATATATTCAAAGATATACGATGAAGCATTTATTCTGCATTTCTTTCGCTCGATTTTCCTTATTTCCATTGTTTTGTTATTCATATCTCCTGACAAACAAAACACAATAGGATAAGTGTAAATCTCGAGTCAGTCTCTTCCAGTTTATCTTTCTCTATGTCGAATTAGATACTCACTTATAAACAATATCCGCTTCACTGTTTTCTTAGTTTCTCGCTTTTCTAAACTCAGAAACCCACCTTAACATATCAATCCAAGACGACCACAACTCAACAACACATTATTGATCATGCTTGTTCATCACAATCATCCATATCAGCAGCATCACTATCACTACCAACAGCATTACAAAAATGAAAACTAAATCCTATTGCTAAAGTGATGTCGTTGATGAGAAAATGTAGGAAACAAGTATTAGTTATAGATTATTTTAAATCCAACAGAATGCTACAAACTCTAGTTGCTATTCAAGCTCCGTGCTTTTCGTACAGTAATTACAGATCTATCTGAATTATCAATGAAAATCACAAAATATGTACTGTTGTTTCTCACGTTAATAACTCGTCTGCTTAATGTATATGGATGGGGCATTTGGGCGCATAAACATATAAGCAAAGCAGCAATTTTAACCCTACCTCAGCAAATTGGCATATTTTTTGATAATCATGCTGATTTCATTGTTGAAGAATCGTTTGTTCCTGATATACGTAAACATCTGTCTAATGAATCATTCGAGTACGTCAGACATCATATCTACCTCGAAGAATATGATTATCGTCTGACTGTGCATGATATGCCACAGACAATGTTCAATGCACAGTCGAAATATGGTCAAAATAAATTATTAAAACATGGAGTGTTACCGTGGAATATTGACACGCTGATGAACGATCTGACAGACGCTTTTAAGAAAAAAATCAAAACAGAAATATTATATATTGCAAGTGAACTAAGTCATTTTATAGCTGATGCTCATGTTCCGTTTCATGTATCAATCGTTTTACGAGAACATCATTATCGTTCGGAATCACTGTGGGAAGCTGAACTGCCAGAGCTATTTGGTAAACATTATAATCTTTCTAATGGCAACGCCGTTGTATACATCAACGATAGTCGCAGTGAAATTTGGAATATAATTCGCAACAGCTACCAATTCGTTAATGAACTATTGATGACAGAACAAAAACTAAATAACTTATTTAAAACTAGCAGATACAAGAAAAAATTAAACGGTGAACTATTACGTAATGTATATAATAGACCAATCCACACTAAAGATTATGCCATAGCATACAATAGTTTGCTGGATGGCATGGTAGAAGAACAAATACGAAAATCAATATATGCCATAGCATCTTTCTGGTATACAGCTTGGATTGATGCCGGACAACCAGATATGCATAATCTCGATCCAGAATATTTAACAAGAAAAAATGCGAAGGTATATACAGAAGATCGTCAGTTATACGCACAAACAGGAAAAATCTTTGATTTCATCAATGATAATGAATATTAAGAAAACAGATGCTCAAATAACCTATTTTATAGTTGACGCACTCTATGTTATAATTAATTGTGTATTGTTCATTATTTTCACTACTATTTTTCATCATCTATTGTCCTATGAGTACTGGTAAAGCGAATTATTTATTTGAAATCAAGTATGAGTGTCGAGGGGTGCAGGAAAACGCTAGTAATTAATGTTTAACTTGAGATCCGTCTCCGAAATACGAATCATTTCGCGAAGAGCCGATATTGGGATATAGCTGGGTAGCCCTGTGTGTCAATTACATTAGTGTGGACAAAGTGTCTAAAGACGAATTGATGAATCACAATTTTTGAGCGTAAAAATGATACAATAATTCGTAAACTATAATAAACTGTTTAATAAAAACTACGTAGAATACAAATTGATGTCAAGGACAAGAGATTTTTCTATGAGGGTAAGAAAACAAAGAATCGTCTCTTCGCATCAATTCGTTCAATTCTTTCATCAATTCATCGATTGGATGATTTTGTATTGATACATGTATCATTGCGAAACAAAATAGAGAGCAATCTCTCTTCTTTTCCTATGCATGTGAGGGGGGAGGGGGCAGTGAAGATGGCTGTGAGTACCAAACGTGTTTTGTCGAATGTTGAATACGACAAGAAAGTAGATAGAAAATCGAGCATGGCTGTACGCGTTTCGCGGTTGCTTAAGCCGGCTGACTATTGATAGCAATAATTGCTGAGAGACAAAGACAAGAACAGTGCACGGGTGAATTTAGAAATGGTTGAATTGCACACAAAATAATGACGAAAGGAAGACAGTATACTTTGTTTGACTCATAGACACACGTATAAAAAGTAAATTAGAGAGAATCGATGCGAAGAGACGATTCCTAGTTTTCTTAACCTTAGAGAAATATGTCTTGTCCTTGACACCAATTCGTAGTTTACGAATTCGTAACAGTAACGGCGAATTGATATGCGAATCGATGCGAAGAGACGAACCTATCTACTTCATGTTGAAATGACTAGTAGTGGGATTCTCGAAAGAGCAGAATACGTCTTTCTGTTAGCATTAGTCCACGATCTGAGCTGCTGAAAAACTGAAGAGCTACTGAAAAACTGAAGAGCTGCGGTTAAACATACTCCAAGCTTCTTCTAGTAAACCAGCCAATCAGGGAAGTTTCCCTTGAAAACGATAGTCAGTCGCTAAATGACAGTTTCGAATAAGAACTACTACAAGACCTCAAACCGGTACTTAAAGATAAAAAAAGTTTACTCAAACTCTCGGCAAGGAAAGAAAAGCATATATAACTTGTTTTATATGAAATGTTAAATAGAAGACGATCATCCAGATATGTACTGCGTAGAGGTTAAGTCCAAAAACTGGTTTTTTAGGGTTTTTGACTCTCAGCTGTAGTGAGAACGGCCTGTGATGGTCTTAATGATTTTGTCTATATGTAATTCACTGTGATTTATCCAAATATGGACAAAATAATTACATATAGACAAAATCATTAAGACCATGACAGGCCGTTCTGACAGGCCAGCTGAGAGTCAAAAACCCTAAAAAACCAGTTTTTGACTCATTTTTGTTTCGGCCGCCGTTTTATAGAGAAGCATTTTGATGAACTGTGAATGCCCAAGCAGAAAATCCCACATGAAAACATCTAGATCTTTTATCGTTGTATTGGGTAGGCATGCACCGGTTACGGTTATAACCGTAACCGTAATAACCGGTCGAACGGTTAACCGTAACCGCTGCATGCCTAACACTAATGCACTTAAAATGCAGAAAAATGGTCACTAACGTACACGCGGAAATCAGTGTCATTAGTAGCAGGATACAAAATAATCTTAATCAACTTTCGCTCAAAGAATCCAAACAA